TATTTTTGGTAGTATATTATTATTATATAGTTTCCTTTTCTTAATAGGATTCTTGCTTGGAAAGAAAGAGATAAGGATGGAATCTACATTATGGAAATAATGAGAATTAGGCTTGGGAAAATATAAGAGATGCCGGCGTGAGTTTTCGAAGAAGGGCATCCATATTCTTGAAAGAGGAGCGGCGTATGTGTTTTGAAGTGCTAGGGAAATTAGCAGCAATGGGCGTGAGTATCTAATACACATCAAGGAGTAGTGTTTATTGGTTTTCCACAACACGGTTTTTCTTGGAGTTCAAAAGCAACAACAAGTGTTCTTTTGTGGGATTTTTGTTGAAGCCGACGGATAAGCAAGAGGATTTTTGACGACAAGGATCCTCCGGGCTTGTGTTCTTTCTTACTACTCATTCGTCATTCTCTTGGAATTATTTTGTTATTCACTTTTGATAGTTTGATTTGATATAGAGATTTCGTTTAAACTCGCGTTTTGTTTTTCGTTATTCACTAGACGTGTTAGGATTGTTTGGAAAACATTGTGATTGTTTTGTTCTAGTGAATTTTTGGCATGTTGCCTTAGTCTATAAGTGATTTTCACTTGTAGGCTAATTTTTGAATCGTTCGTGTTATTTATTTTCCGCTGCATATTTTATTTTTCAACTTTCGTGTGAAACCTGGATATTTGCGTACCTAAAATTCTAACAAGTGGCATCAGAGCAGGTCACTTAATTTAATAAGTGTGATTCTGACTTTTTAGGTACATATGGAGTTTACGGGGTTGCCGTTACCCACACTTGTTCCGAACCGGCCAAAGTCATCCAACGAAAAGATGAAATATGATGAATTTGATGCATCGGAGGAATCCTCGATTGAGTATGAACCTGAGACTACCTTTGGAACTGATTTTATGATAATCATGGACGAATCGAGGCTAAGAAAAATCAATCCAGCAGGTGTCGGGCGAAATATCGCCCGAAGTGTCATGACACCTGGCAGGTATGAAAATGAAAATTCTGAATTTTTTTGCTTTAACTCTTGTTTTGTGATGCTTCAGGCAGGGATTTAGGTCCTCCGAGCAGCCTTCAATTTGTTAGGTTTGAAGACCATGAAAAGGTGTATGTGGAACTTCATAAACGCTTTATAGATACCGTATGGGAAGCGGATAGGCTCGAGAAGGGAATAAGAGGATGAAGTCAGAGGCTAAAAAGTTGGAAGAGGAAAATGATGCATTAAAATCAACCATAACCCAATTGGAGGTGACCATCTCTGGTCATGACCAAAAGTTGGTGAAGGTAAGAGAGGAACTTGAATACTCTCGTCAGACCTTCCAACGACTTAACACCGGTAAGAGCCAATTGGATGTCCTAGCTACTCTTGAACATAATCATAAGAAAGCAGGACTTGGTTTTAAGCCTACTATATTTGTTCGTCCATCGGAGGAAACATGTGAGTCTTTTTCAAAATCTACGCCCAAGGTTTTTAAGAATACTAAACAACGAAGGCATATATATGTGTGTCATTATTGTCATGCACCCGGACACATAAGACCTTATTGTTATAAATTGCATTCATTTGATAGGTCTTTCGAACCAGTGGTCCCTCCCGTGTCCCGAAATATGCCCATAAACCACGGAACTATAACTAAAAATAAATCAAAGTTTGTTTGGGTTCCGAAATCTGACTTGAAATGCAATGTAATTCATACATCTTTGAAGTCTAACATTGCAGGATCTTGGTACTTCGATAGTGGGTGCTCACGTCACATAACCGGCACTCGTGAGTTCTTGTCTAATGAAGAACCTTGTGAAGGTGGGCGTGTTACATATGGAGGAGGTGAACATGGAAAGATCATAGGACGGGGAACACTCAATATTGATGGTCTCCCAAAGCTTCAAAATGTGTTGTTGGTTGAAGGACTTAAGGCTAATCTTATTAGCATAAGTCAATTATGTGATGATAACCTTCATGTTAAATTTGATCGTAACTTTTGTGAAGTTCTTGATGAGGCTAATTCATGTATTTTGTCAGGTGTATGAACTACCCAAAACTGTTATCGGGTCAAAAATGCTGAAGATGACGTTCGGGACTTGATGGACCTTCCGCAATGTAGTGCTGCTCCAGATGTCGTCCTAGATGTCGCCCCAGATGTCATGACACCTGACACGACACCAGACACAACACTTGAGGCGACACATATCTCTGATGAGCAAAATACCGTTTCTAAGGTTGAGACAAGATCTGATGATGATGTTCCTGATCGGAGAAGAGTAGTTCGTAGATCTCTTCCTTTGTCGCGATCTTTTGGTGAGGTAACAAATGGTAGATTGTTTCATCTAATGGTAAGAAAGTTATGTAGTGTTTTCAATAATGTTAATGATAATCTTTTTGAGAACATTCTTGTGAATAATATGGTGGCTTTGCATGATATGAAATCAAATTTTTCTTATTGTCGACTTTTACGAATAAATCAAATGATTGAGAAATATTGTCGACATAGTAATTTCTTAACCGTATATTGTGATAGCAAGAGTGCGATTGATATTTCAAAAAAATTCGGTTCAACATTCTTGCACAAAACACATAGATATAAGACATCACTTTATTCGGTATCTAGGTGAGAAATACATATTTTGCATTGAGTACATAGGGACCGAGAATCATTTAGCCGATATATTCACCAAGACATTAGATTATGAGGGGTTTTCTAACTTAAGGAAATCTCTCGATTTTTGCATTGTTTGAATTAGAATAGGAATCGTGTTGCAACTTTCACGGTGCATCATCGTTGTAACACGAGTTTTTGCATACATGCATTTTTTATTTCTTTTCATTCATATTTGCATTATTATTGCATAAACGGTATATTCGTTGGAGGCATGAAGTTGTAGTGGTGCATTTTTTCACTTGATAAATGGATTGTTGGTCGTATCTTCTCAAATAAAAAAAGCATGTTGGAGACTGTGAAGGGAAATAGCTACCTACTCCATGAGTGTGCAGCTAATTCTTGTGACCGAATTCTTCTATAATTAAAAATATGTTGAAGGAGGTATGATCATTTAGAAAGAAGGCTACCTTTGGTTTAGTGTGAAAGCTACCCGATGATCAGTATTCCTTCGTGGTTAAAAAAAAAAA